AATTAAATCCTGATTTTGCCAAAATGTGTTTAGTAGGAGTGAGGCTGTATATCAGAGTCAGCCTTAAGACTGTTGGTATTTAAGCTGGTTAAGAAGAGAGGAGTATCATTTTCATACTTAACCTCTTAAGTTCTACAGTTGTATGTAGACTGCACACAGTATGCTTTAAATTCTCAGCTGTTCTTTGGTTTACATTTTTCAAGTGGTAAAACAGAGCATGTGAAAAATATGTACAGCAGGGAATCTGTTTTTTACAGTTAGATTCATTTTTAAAAAGCAAGTCTGTTATAAAAAGCTTTGGTACAAGTTTATATTCGAAGCAATACTCTTAGTATGTGAAATGTAGTTGGCAAGTATTTTTATGTGTGCCTGTTAGTTTGAATGCATGATGCTGATCTGTTTTTTGTCCTAGCTGACGGTTATTATATCCTAATGGGTGCAACCCTGCACTAATGATCCTTGTGTATATAAATTCTTCTTGTTGTGAGCAGACACCATACGCCACATAAAAATGTTTGCCTCAATTTCCCTGCAAAAAAGGATCTCAGAAACCAGACTTGGCCAAGTAACAGATTTTTTAAAGGTAGAGGAACCCAATAAAATTACCAGCTTTTCACAGCATGAGTCTACTTCCTTTCAACATATTGTGAGGTGTAGGTGAAATATTCTAACTGAACTGACAGTGTAAGGAAGACAGCTAACTAGAAAGCAAGATAAAAGTAAAAACCACCGATGATGATTGATATTGTAATAGCTATTAATTGTTTTGGAGCCTCTTTTGTAGATTTATGATACTTCATCTATATTACTTACACTTACGTGAGTCTTGGTATAATGAGAGTCAATGCGATAAAGTATCATTGTTAAATTCACTGCATCAGGAAGAGCATTTTGTAAAACTTATCATGGTTTTTATTCATTTTAATAATGTTAATATACGTGTGATTAAAACTGGGTTTTGTTTTTCACAGAAAAATTAAGAAGCTTTTGTTCCTTGTAACTAAGTAAAAAGTAAATAATTAGTTTCTTTGATCTGGTGTAATGGGGTTTTTTCAGCTGCCCCAATTCAAGTTAATTTGCACAACATACTGTGAATGTATTGCACATGCCATATTTTAAAAATATGAAGAACACTAAGACACCTGTGATTTTGGGGATTTCTTCCAGCTTTTCAAAATCAATGCTCTTTTTAAAAAAAATTGACCAATCTTCATAATTTTACATGTTTTCATTTTTGTCTTCTGCTCCAAGCGCGTGTGGCATTAAGTTCTATCAGTGTGAATAAAAAAAGATATAAGGACAAAGATGTTAAATACCTAAAGATGAAATAAAGGAGTGTGTGTGGATTTTGGCAGTACTTCTGACTTTCTGGGAGTGTGTCTCTACATACATTAACATCCTAAGATGACCAGCTATCATTGACTTGAGTAATAAAGCTAGATTTTTAACTGCAGCCTGTCTGCATAGACATTGACAACAATAGCAGGATAGGTTGTATAGCAAGTAAATCAGAAAATATTTTCTTGGTACTTTTATACAATCACATATTTGTCTAAAAGAGAAAACAATTCGTGTTAATGTCTCTTAACACTGATTATTATTAGTTCTGTTAAAAATGTGGTCCTTTATCAGGACCATATTTTATTAGTTTAATTTCAAACATTTGGTTTATCATGTCACTTCAAAACAATGCTGATTTGTTAGAACTGGGGTTGAGTACAGAAACATGGGTAAGAAAATACAGCATTAAAAATCACTTTGTAGTTTTGGGGCCTTTTCTGTGACAAATCTCTGACTGAAAATTCCAGTTATATGTGCAAATCTTGATGTTCTTGTTAAAGTGTTCTTTTTTCAAACTACTTTCTGTCATTTTAATAGTTCTGTACCTGAAAAAATCTACTATTAGTTGTATGTTTTGCATTTCTAGTGCGACTGCAAATTACCTTCAATAAGTTGCTTTTCTAGATAAGTCTAGACAATTTTTTCCTTGTAAGCAGATCTTGGAATATTCCAAAATAAGATGAAACCACAAGGGGAAGTTTTTGAACTCAATATATGTATTTTAAAATCTTAACAATTAAATATATTAAACTGTGAAACCAATTTTCCAATAGATTTTCCAATCTCTTAGGTTCTTTTTTGACATTTCATTGGATAATACAGAAGATAATGCAACTCCAACTGATGGAACTATCCTGGAAGAGCCAAGAGATGATCTCATAGATTCAATCCCTAATGATTTTTCTTTAAACAAAGATTTTTGTCAAGCTCAGTTGTTCAGGCTTGATATTTGGTTACACTCTTGAGCTTTTTTTGAATCTTTCCAATAGGACAAAATTACTTTTTTTCACTGATACTGTCTTCTTCCGTATAATTCTTTACTTCTAACCAAGGTGTAATGTCAACAGATGGAATCATAATTGACAGGCAAAATTTTAAAGCATTCTAAATGTCGTTGGACCTTTTAATAAAATTAATTAGCCTGCCACAGAGAAAATTTACTAGCCTGCTGGTTAATTTCACAATGTAAAATCATGGGGTAGGTGGAAGAGCAGGCGAAAGCTTATTACTTTTAAATAATTATTTAAAGATGTGCGCCTTGGCCCTTTCAGTCATGGATTGCAAATGCAGCAAGAGCTTTTAAAATCTTCTAAATTCGCAAGCAATCAGGTTTCCTTTGAAGAAGTATAATACAGTTGAAATTAAAAGTTGTCAGGTACTAGCTAATGATGAGTCACTGGTTATGTGGAAAATTGGTAGAAGCCTTAAGCTTGATTCATTTGGGATTAATGTTCCCAGTAACATTTAAACAGAAGTCAGGAGTTCAGAAATTGTGCCCCGTCCCATTATGAATCTTGATGAAATGCTGGTTTCAGAAAAATTAAACATCCAAAGTGCATCTCTTCGCTTACTGCAATTTAACAGTGGAGAGCATTAGAAAGTGCTGTGAACCAATCCTATTTCATTTTCAGAAGAGTCCAAATACATTGTCTGAATTGTAATGTCATTTGCAAATGTTGGAAACACCTAATGCCGTACATTCCAAACGTAGTAATATTTGGAACTAAGATAGGAAACATTTTGAGACTTTTCGTTTTTGGTAATGAGGCAAAATTAGTCATTGCAGAGTATACTTTACATGTCTCTGTGTGATATTTGAAAGTATTTATCTGAAAATTGTCATGTGGGTAGTTTTCTAGTGGATAAAACTAACTCAAACATTAGCTGCTCTATGGAGATACCTTAAAAATCTGTAGCACAATCTTTTTGTGCTTGCAAATTTGCAACTTGCAAATCTTGGAAGTTGGTTTGCCTATCTGCTTCCCAAGATTGCTAGCCCCAAGACAAGGAGATCTCACTGTTTTCGTATCTCCCTGGTCTCCCATGCACATAGAGAGACCTGAATATCCTAACTCTCAATTCCTTCCTATCTAGCCTTCTAAGCTACAACGAAATCTGTGCTGTTCATTGTCTGGTATCAGTTCTCATGTTCTCCTGCCTGACCAGCTACGCAATCAGCTGGGTCCCTGGCAGGTCCTGTTTGACTGCCAAGTATACTGTAGGGGAAAAATAGAACTCCATTCTCCTGAGACAGTTTATAGTTAGTTCTTGTGTGAGTGCTGTGACTTGAAGTCAGAACAAAAATAAAATGCAGAAAATAATAAAATATTAGCTGAATACAAATGTGTCCTTTAGCTAGGTCAGATCTCTTTAGTACATTTCTCAGGAAACAGAATTGAAATCTTAAGTATGTTTTCTAGCATCTAATTTGTGATTGTATTCTATACAGCTATACTGTGTGTTGATGACTCTGTAGTAGATCTGGAAACACTGGAAGCACTCTATGAAAATGTAAGTAAGCTGGAGTAAAGCTGTGGTTAATCACCATAGTATTTCAGACACAGAGTAAGTAAAGCTTTATTTTATGTTGTCATTTTAGACTAGAGACATTATGTAGAAAAAGTCTTTAGGGAATTTAACAGTAATAAAATAGGTAACATAAAATAGCCATTGACATGCTTATTTCTCTTACTGGCTTCGTTCTTAAATCTCAGAAATTTAAAACAGTGGAGTGCCTTTGGAATCGGGTTAAAATGTAACAAAAGGCATAGCAGTGTTCTTTCCTGAACAGCCTGAAAAATACTGTCCTTACTTAAGGCCTATGTTATGCTAACATGATGAATTTTTCTCATTCAAGATCTAAGTGGCTAGAACAGTTAACTCAGGCTACTGCATTGCTGTCCTTACCAAAGTTGCTCTGTAGACTAAGTATATAACCTTCACGAACTGTGTGACTGAAGGAGCATGAAAGAATATGTTTGCACTTGACTGTAGAGATGTCACACCTAGCTCTCTGGCCTAAACTGCGTGAAGCATCCTATAGCAATATTTGCAGTGCTGTGCTCTACAAGGATGCCCTGCTTTGTGGCTGTTGGTAGTAAATGGCACTGCAAGGCACTGAAGGAATTTATCATGGATCTTTACGCCTGACTCTTTTGCATAGTCTAAATGTTTCCCAATAAAAAATGTAATTGTTACTTGCAGACAAACAGGTAAATTAGTAATTTATTAATTTGTTATTAATTACTTTATGTTAATTCACTCAGAGAGCACAAAAGGATGAACTGGAGAAAATCAAGCAATATTATCAGACTTCAAAAGAGGAGGAACTGAAGCTTCTGGATAAACCAGAACAGTAAGTTTACCTTTTTGGTAATATTGTTAATATAGTATAATCCTTTGCTGATATGTTAAAAGGAATCTTGATACGTAATTTTTAGTAGCTAATTTTCAAGGCATGTTGTAAAGTTTGCATTTATCACATGACTTCTTTCAGACATGACAGATTTAACTATGTCAACTTGGACCACCAGAACTCATAAAATATGTAGCCTTGAATCAATGGAAATTTCTGTTCTCATTCTCACATTTGTAAAAGGCTTATCCTTCCCTTAGAGCTTTTAGGGCTAAATTAATGTGTTATAAAGCTGGGCTAGACTCGTTTTGCTTGTTGATTATTTGAAAGAGCTATACAAACAGACAGTTTTGGTGCATCCTGTGACAAAGACACAATGTACGCTCTGGTCATGCTGATTGAAGACCTACAAGGCTGATTCCACAGTTCTTCTGCAACTGTAGTGGGCAGTGACAACTGTTAGGATCACAAACTTAAGTGTTGTATCTTCTGTTGTAATAAACTGCACACCAATGTGAAAAATCACAAGAATCTGTGAGCAGCATGGTAATCCTGAATTTTATTTTAGAGTATAGATTTGATTTCAGATTTTGGCCTACCAGTGGTATTTGTCTTCTGCTAGTTTGCTACTTTTCATTTCATACTCCCATCCTCCTCTTCTAATTACAGAGCAATTTCCTGCCCTGAGGCTTCTCTGCCATCTTGCTTCCTTTTCCCTCTTGTCTGTTTTTGTCTTTTCTGCTGTTTTTAGCATGAGAAAGAGTAGGAGGAGGAAGAACTAAAACAGTAGAAATAATATATGATTGGTTGATATCAGAGGTATTATATTTTCATACCTTTTATTCCCATTAAAATGTTAGTGGTGAAGAGCAGATTTTTTTTTCTCTTTCTCCTAACACAAGCAGCTAATACTCATTTGTGACTGTCCACTGGGGAATAGGTTAATGTTGGGAGATGAGGCTATCACACTCTTTATTAAGAGTGGCTGTAATTCCTGAGTAAGGCTTAAGAAGATAAATATCTGTGAAGTGTATATACTAACTTCTTCTTGCATCCCATATCCATGGCTTTCATTGCATTGGATTAGGGCGTAAGAATACATTGTGTGACTAGCTGATGTTTTCCAGAGCTTGAATCTTTGGCAATCTGCTTGCTGTATGTCTGAGTGAAATAAATATTAATGCATTTTGTGTTCTGGTGGACACAAATCTTGTAGAGTTAGAAAAGGTTGTCTGTTTTTGTGAGTTATAGTGGGGAGAGGTTGGTCTTAATGAAACGAAGGTTGGATTTATGCTATCATTTTTCCATAAGTAAAAGTAAAGAACTGGAAATAAAGCAGTTACACCTGATCTTTCGGGGTGAAATAGTAGTGTTAAAGACAAAAGCTACTTTTTATGAATTACTATTCTTTTTGTTCTCTCTGCAAGTCTTAATTATCCCTATTATTAAACTACATAGGTTAAGAAAACTAGCTTTTAAAAATGTTGCCTCAAGGGGGAAACAATTTGCTGATGATCCGTTTGTGTAAGTTTTATTGGACCTTCAAAATAATGTCCTTTCTGAAAATTCAGGAGATCAGAGGTGTTTTGTTGTTTAAGTCAGCCTCCAAGTCAACCTAAATGCAGAATTGGAGATTTGTTGGAACTGTACTATGCATATTAACTCCGTTAAAGGGTAAAGACAGAAAAGTGCTAAATTCTATGTGTGATTAAAAATATTTCCTACAAGGTGTAAACCTTATGTATTTTCTTTAATGAGGAGCAGAAGCAAAGTGCAAACTAAACCATTTATCAAACAGTAGCAAATACAAGCAATAGGCATTCTTGTAATGAAAACATTGACATGAATTCACTGAAGTCTAAAGAAAACCTTTGCCATTTTTAAACGCTTGGATTCCCAGACAAATTGAAAGCTTCACTGGTATCACTGATGCGCTCCTGCACATATGATTTAGATTTGTTTTGCTAGCATATTAAATTTGCTATTGTTGGCACAAGCTGTAAGTATGACAGCAACGTGACAATACCCCCCTAAATTATGCTTCATGATAGTAGTTGTTAAAATGCTAATATTCATTAACATGGTAAAGATTTATATGCACAATTGGCCACAGTTTATGGCTTTACTAGCAAGGTACAGATGCTTTAGCTAGTTTCAAAGACCCTTTTAATTGTGACATAATCTCTGTGAAGTCCTCTCTACTGTGAAAGAAATACTGATGAAGGAAATAGTAGCAAAATATGGTACTGAGCTTTCCTGTTTTGTTTCTAGATTGAATTCAGGAAGTAGTGAGCTATTGATAATTGCTGTCCAAGTAATGCCATTTGCTTCTTTTCGAAGACCAATTTGCTTTGACTTCAGTTTAAATCCTGCTGGCTTACTTAGAAGCTTGCAGGATTAGGTACACCTTTTTCCCCAAAAATTATTTCCAAATTTTATATTCTTAAATGTGGATAAATGTGATTAGTTTGCCTCCATGGAATCAGCCGTCTTTGTCTAACTTCTGAAAGAATGTTCTGTTACAGTAACAACATGGTATTATGCCTGGCTTGAAAGTACTCTCAAGTCATTTACTACAAGATTCTGGTAGGATAGAAGAGTTCTCAAGTAAATGCATTTTTTTATTTACAGTTTCTGCAGGAGAGGAGTAAAATGGATCTCACAGAGATGAATAACAAATTTTCTGTGTTTACTTTGGGCCATAAGGACTATAGCAATGAGAAGCCCATCAAAAAGCTATGTCACAGTCATGTCGTCGTTACTTTAAGTCAAAATCATACTTTTCTCAGACTAAAATTACAAAAATGACTGTACTAAGAATATTCATTTCTCTCCAAAAGTTTTTGTCCACCTGAATTGGTGGTTTATCTTTGATAACCATGGATTCATTCATTTGTGTTTAGTAACTACATTTGTAGTCACTAAGATTCCTTTTTGTGACAGATTTCAGTTGTAAGTGTTCTGTCTGGATATATGCATTGAATACTTTGAATTCCAAAATCTGGAGGCATTTTTTTCTTACGCTGATGCTCTTTTAACTCTTGGCACAGTTATGTTGTATTCCGATGACCAGCAGTGTAGGAGATAGTTCCCTTTTCAAGGGAAGGCAAGAATATGTGTCATTTGGCTTTTTAAATTTAAACTTTTAAAATGTATGTATGTTGGAACTTTAGTGAAGCAGTTTGGGGTTTTCTTTCTTTTGTTTCTCACACAAAGTGCAAAGTATCCTCTTTTTTTCCTGGCAATACCATTCATTCCCAATAGGAAGCATTTTTATTAATACCAGCTTGGCATTTCTTTTTTTCCCCACTGCTTAAGTGTAAGAGCCAAGGCGGGCCTCCTCAATCCTTCTCTCACAATAGACTTTTTCATCAGGCAAGAAAGAAGAAGAAGGAAAAAAATTATATTCCAATTAAAACGTAGTGTTTCACACAAGCCACAGGTGGATTTTGCTGATTTTTAGACAGCCACTCTTCAGCAAAGCATTGCATGCATGAGAAATTTGTAAAGCAGATTTGAAGATACTATTTATTATGAAAAAGAAATAATTTGGAGAAATCAGATGTATTGGCTTAAATAATTAAAATAAATTTAATAAAAATTCAAGCTAATAATGGTTCACAGAATTTCCCATAATTCAGTGAAGTAGAAAAACCTTTACAGCATTGCGTTAAGGGTATCTAAGGATGTCTGCAGACAGGAGATTAGAAGAATGTTTCTAAAGTGATACTGGAGCAAAAGGCAGCTTATTTCTGGGTTTCAAGAAAGCACGTGTATCTCTGAAATACTAGACTCAAAACCCACAAAGCTTCTTGGGTTATTTAGCCAAGCTCTTACATTTTGAATTGAAGAAGAGAAAAGGGAGGACTTACTTATGCCTTTGGGATGCTTTCATTTTGTGATATCCGAACTGGAGTTGCTGAATATGCTTCTATTTATTTTTATTTACCAAAGACTTAAAGGAAGAAAGCCGGAATAGACTTATGAGGAAAGTGTATATATGAGGACAGATAAAGAAGAGAAAAAGAGTTAGTAACTTTGCAGAACAGTGACTGAAGAGAGATATAATCTGCAAGTATTTTAGAGCTAAATACACGGCTAGGTGCATTTCCATAAAACATACTGCTGTATAAGTGGAAGTGTGGTGCAAATTAGTAAAAGAAAATTGAGGCTAAGCATCAGAAGAAATTTCTTGGCAGACGTTTTATATTATGAAATAATCTTGTAGGAATATGTTGAGTTTGGTATTGCTGGGCACATTTTTAAGAGAAGCAAAAACACATGAGTGAAAACAGTAAACAAACAGCATTTCTCTAGCTCTTTTTTTTTTTTCTTTTTTCTTTTTTTTTAAACTTACATAGGTTTATGATTCTTCTGTTTATTACTATGCAACTGTGATAGTGGGTTAATGGATAACTGTGATAACAAGGTCTTGCCTTGTTCTTGATGTAGTAGGGTTTCTTAACACATTGAGCATCAAGAATACAACAATTATAAATTACCAGATTTGATTCAAAGAAAGTAGGAAGGATTGCATGTATATTTCATGATACTACAGCTTGGATCCGTTATGTACCCCACAGATAAGAAATGTAAAGATTCATTAATACTCTTTTTTTTCCCACAGATTTTTATATGAGTTATCTCAGATCCCAAACTTCACAGAACGAGCTCAGTGTATTATCTTCCAGTCAGTTTTCTCTGAAGGGATAACATCAGTGCACCGGAAAGTTGATATCATAACTCGTGTTTCCAAGGTAAGTCCTAGTGAAAGCTAAGTAGAAACAAATATATTTTAGAGTATTCGTGCTTCTTTTTTTACCGTAAGTGATGAACCTTAAGTCTGATTATTGGCTTTTCAGGAAAATAAAAATATATTAAATATTTTAGCTGCTTATAAGAACAAAAGGAGGAGGAAAGAGGGAAGGTGAATTGTGTGTGATGCTCTGGGCTCTATGTAGGATTTTTTTTTTTTTTTTTGAATGGTAGGGTTTTATTACTTTGCACATTAGGTAGAGTAACAGATAATCTCCATAAAATAGAAGTTAAGTATCAGACTGGCTTAGCACAGGGCCTTGCAAACTTACGTTTTTTTGCACATCACTGTTGAAGACATAGCAATAGATGCCTGTCATGCTCATTAGCTTATTGCTTTCCCCTGGTGTTTATATATTTCTGTTAACCCTGACACAGCAGAATTTTTAGTACCTTACAAAGGTTTACTTTCTATACTATAAATGTCTAAAAACAAGACTCTGAATTTATAACAAATAAAACCTGAAAAGTAGAATTTATTAGTTCTCCACTGTGTTTCTAGATTTCTTTTCTCTTTTGAGGCATAGTAATTTAATCCTTAGCCCTGATATATCTGCATTAAGTATGGATCCAGAAATGTGAATTTCCAGAGCATCAAGGTCGATAAGAAGCAGACTGAATATGACAGGCTGAGTCTAACTTAGTGGCAGCAAAAATAGCACATCTCCATTTAACTGTGCATTATGCAAACTCATGATAAACCACCTCACCTGAAGATTTTTAAAGGCTACTGAGAATGTTTAGTAATCTTCTTCCATTAATCTTTTTAACATCTACGTAGTATATGATGCCATATAATTTGCTTTGTATGGATCAAGTGAAACAATATTTTAGGCAGATACAGTCTAATAAATGCTTCTCTTAAATGTATGATTCTTGTACCAGCTTTAGCTTCCTTGCCCTACAGGGGTAAAAACACACAAGAAACAAAACAGCGAGCAAAAATAAAATTTAAAAAAGTTTTTTTTATGTCAGCAATTAGACTTTTTGTGCTAACAGAGGTTACAGACTCGTATCCATTTTCCAGGCTTTGCTGAACATGGCAAGTGTAAAGGAAATTTTAGGTTTGATTCTGGCTTTTGGAAATTATATGAATGGCGGGAATAGGACCCGAGGTCAAGCTGATGGATTTGGTTTGGAAATACTCCCCAAACTAAAGGATGTCAAAAGCAGAGTAAGTACTAATTTTTACTTAAAAGATAATTTTTCTCAAGTGATCTTTCTTTGTTCTACCATCTGCATCAAAAATTAATCTTTTCTTATTTCTTACCATTCTTGCTTGAAAGAGCAAGGAACTTTGTACCATTTTCTTGCTTTTTTCTCCCAACTTTTCACCTCCTTCTTCTGCACATGTGCATATTTCCATAATCTCTGATTTCTCCTGTTCAGTACTGCTAGGGTAATTAGCGTATGTGAGAACTTCTGTGTGTCTCTTTCTCTGGTAGAGACTTAATTACAGTAGGGTAAAGAGAAGTGAGAGAGCACAGACTGCTGAAGTCTTCTCCAGTAAATGTCCACATTCATTTTTCTTGCTCTTAAGATAGCTCTATGTGAGTAAAAATGTTTTAAAAATCAGGTGTAAAATCAAAATATCAATAAAAGTTCAGTGTAGTATATACACAAAGGCATGATAGGTAAAGAATATAAATATATAATATACAGGATTTTAATCCTTTTCAAAGAGGTGTGTCAGACCCAACAAGATGTTTTCAGTCTTTGTTTTTGAACTGGAAGTTAAATAGGTGTAGAGCATGAATTCTGAATGGCATGCATGAGAAAATGCTCATAGGTGGCAGTAAATTATTTTGTCAAAAATTGAGAACCACTAGCATGTTTTTGATTAGTCATGCTAGGATCAAAGTCAGGCTCAAAGAAACTATGGACACCTTTTGAGATGAGGTTCCTTTTGTTCCTTATTTGAGTAGGGCAGAGGAGGAGGTGCTAGGTAATGCAGGCAATGGAAACACTGCTCAAAGTCGTTCTTTGCCAAAGCATACCTAGACACCATATGGATATATGAAGCAGCAGAGAACAGGAGGTATTTTCTGCTGATGCTGGTATGGATTTGGAGGGTGAGAAGAAAACCTGTTCTTTCATGTTCTCTTCTCCGATGTGAAGTGCTGTCTTGAATTATAAGAAAGGCAGATTTTAAGCTTTTGTTCCCAGTTATACTTCATGTATGTAGGAGTGCGTTTGTGAGACAGGTGATGCCATCTTGTAAATACTATCATTAACAAAATGTACAAACACATTTACTGAATCGTTCAGTGAGCAACTGTATTAAGAAAGTTTTTCCAATGGATTTGAGTCCAAAGAAGAGCAGCAAGGTGGTGAAGGGTCTAGAGAGCAAGTTGTATAAGGAGCAGCTGAGGGAACTGGGGTTGTTTAGTCTGGAGAAAAGGAGTCTGAGAGGAGACCTTATCGCTCTGTACAAGTACCTGAAAGGAGGCTGTAGTGAGGTGGGTGTTGGTCTTTTCTCCCAAGTAACAGGCGATAGGACAAGAGGAAACAGCGTCAAGTTGCGCCAGGGGAGGTTTAGATTGGATATTAGGAAAAATGTCTTCGCCAAAAGGGTTGTCAAGCACTGGAACAGGCTGCCCAGGGAAGTGCTTGAGTCACCATCCCTGGAGGTATTTAAAACATGTAGATAGGGCACTTCGGGACATGGTTTAGTGATGGACTTGGCAGTGTTAGGTCAACGGTTGGACTTGATCATCTTAAAGGTCTTTTCCAACCTAAATGATTCTATGATTCTATGATTCTAATTCTTGCTTTCGTTCTCACTGCAATGGTTCAGCTGTTCCCTATAAGCACTTTTCTTCCAGTCCTACTCCATGGACAAGACACAGTACAAGCTGCAGCTAAACTAGAACCAGGCCAAGTTTCCGAGTATTCAGGTGTTCATTAGTTGGCCAGCTGCTGTGAAGAGCAATGTAAAACAACTGAGCTTTGCCTGACTTTTCTCAGTTGAAGTACTAATTTTAGTCTCACTCTTCCATCTAACCATAAACTTGTAAGAATTTAATTATCTCTGGGACTTTCCAGTTTGGCTGAATTTAGCCAGCACATTCCAAAATTATGAGTTATGAAAAGGAGTGACAGATATACAGTATAATTGCATAAGACTTGTTCCTCAGCAAAACAAGCTAAAAAACTACAGCATTTACAGTTTCCTGGTAGCCAAAATATATTATTAGTTTAGACTAGTCTCCAAAATGCATAAAAACTCAAAAGGGGTTGGCTGCTACAGGCAGACATGAAACCTCAGAGGTAATTGGTAGACTGTATTTGTAAGGAAGAAGAATGCAGGGTCTTATATATGTGTCCTGTTATTCCCTTTTGGGGAATCGCCAGCAAGCAGTATTACGTCTAGGTAAGCTGAATTCCAGGAGCTAAGGTAAAGAGTCAGTGTTAAGTAGCTCTTACTTCGTATAAAAGTCATCTATTGTCACATGAGCCTAGAAAGTTACTTGATACAGAGATTTTTTTAAAAATGTTGCTCACCAATTCAAAATCTCTGTGTTTTGTCTTCTGCAAAGACTCTTTAAACCAAAGTAATAGGTTTGATAGTTTAGCATATAGAAAATATAATAACAGGTGTATTTTACTCTAAAAGGGTGATCAAATGTTCCTGAGTCACTTCAGTTCCTTTTTTTGTCATGTGACCTGCCAGCAATGTCTTCTAAAACCATTACGCAAGCAGAGTGGCTTTGTCTGCATGACAGCAATGACTTGCTTAGTTAGGAATTTTGCTGGTGTATGATATTAATAAAGTCTAATGTGCTGCAGGCTCCAATATAGGCGAGGCAGCTCCATACAGGAAATCAGACATTGTTCACATACAAATGTTTGTCCTGATACCTGTCAATGTACAATATGAAAACACATCCAAAAAAGCTTCAAAGGCATTCCAGATATAATTTCCTATATTATGATTCTTTTATGTTGTTGAACGGTACCCCATAACATATAAGTCGCAGTTTTACACTTTCCGTTTAGTTCATCTGGCCTATGCTGACCCAATGACATGTAATGAAATAAAATGGTGTTGTGTACAGTTGTTGTATGCAAGACCATGGAAATGGTGATTCCACAAAGTGAGTATTAAAATTCATGTTTATAAGGCAACAGAGCATGAAATATACTTGTTAGGTACATGCTGTCTGGTTGTATATTTCAAGTAAAATATGAAAAGATATCTATGCCTCTTTCAGATCTTCATTATAGTTTAATTGAGACTAGAGGAATCAAGAAATTCAGCTCACCCTAATATATCTGAGGTGACCGTAATATTTAGTTAATACTATATTCAAGAATAATATTACTAATTAATGTTATTATTCAAGTTAATATTCAGTAATGCCTTGTATTATCAAAAAACGATAGGAGGACAGCTTCTCCCAATGGATGTTTTCTTACCTGGTATTTAGAACCAAAAGAAGCTCTGGGTCCTGTGGTGGTATGATTAAGCCCATGGTTTTTTGGTCAATAATGCTGGGGCTGAAGATATTGTAAATCCTATTTCTCACAGCAATATAAACTAATAATATATTTATTTTGAAATAGAGTAAATTTTCACTCACTTGAAGCAGTGTTAATCACACACATTTTTAATAATATACTTATTTTTTCCTAGGATAATGGTATTAATCTTGTGGATTATGTCGTCATATATTACCTACGCCATTGTGATAAGGTAAAAGATTCATTTGCTGTATCAGCCTCTCCAATAGTAGGTATCTTTCAGACATTGTAAAAGGGTTTATATTAGCTTTTTGAAAATCTGAACACAGTAGCTCTGATGGAAAAGTAAAATTAATTTCTTTTGCATTCTTACAATAGTTGTGGGCCTCAATAGGTCTGAAGTATGGTATAGGTTTTATGATAAGGCTTTGCAAAATTTTACACTAACAGTTGAGCTAACCACTGCAGGCAATTGCCTGTGACTGTTGCAGACCAGACAGGTGGTCCCTGTCTTCTGACAGAATGCAAGGATAGGTTGGTATTTTAAGAGGTGAGTCAGCTGGTGGGAATGAAGTTAGAGGTTGAAAATGTGGCAAGAGGTGAGGTTGCTGCTTTGAGTGAGTTACATTTTTGAGGCTTTTTGATAGATGTCAGCAGTGCCCGAAGGTTTTGAGTGGAAAATTTGAACTACTGTCTTTTAAATGAAAATGTCACTGTTACTTGGTTTTAAGTATGTAATTGCTCATTTTTGAGATTAAAAAGATGCTTATACCTCATCTTTGAATCTAAGGCTACTGTAATTTTTCACAGCCCTCTGTCTAGTTGAATACAAATAATTTTTTCTTCTTTTTTTTTTTTTTTAATTCTTCCGTAAGGGTGTTGAATTGATGAGTTAGTAGTCATGAGTGTTTTTTCCAGCAGTAAGACTAAAGTAAGTGAAGACATTTCCTACCCATGGCAGGGGGGGTTGGACTAGATGATCTTTAAAGGTCCCCTTCCAACCCAAACTGTTCTATGATTCTGTGGTCGCTAATGCTGAAGGGTCTGTGTCAGAAGCCTGTGGAACAGCTCCTGGGACTGCTAAAAAAGGAGATAAAAAAATAGCAGATGTGTAGATCTGTACTTCTTTTCCTTCTTCCTTACATTTTTTTGAGCAGGGAAAAATGTGTCATTACTTTAACCTAATTACCCATCTTGTAAAAAGCCTCATAACAAAAGTAACTTTATCTAGCCCGTAATGTTTCTTAGTTCTCAGGGTATTGACATATATATTCTTTTATCCTTTTTTAATAATACTGAAGCTAATGCTTTCTAATTAATTCATTTAAATATTTAATATTTCTGCAAACTTTCTACTATACTGTAATTTTACTTCAGGGAATTTTATGAAACAAAAGAGTTTATCTTCCTTGGGGGGGAAATGGACACAATGATAGTTTCGTCCATTGTACCTTTTTCCCCCTAAATATTCATAATAACAAAATCATGTTTTCCCTGTTCACAAAATGATTAGTTCTCCAACCTATGAGTTTTCCTTTATTACAGACTGAAATCTGTGCACAGGTAGTATTTTAAACTCACTAGTATATTCTTATACACAGCAATGTCATATTAATACCATCTTTATACTTGTAACTCTCCACTGGTAATACTGCTTTGAAACTTAGGAGGTTTTTTTGGTTTGATTTGGTTTCCTTCTGATTTTTTTTTCTCTTGCTGTGGTAAAAATAAGGTATATACTTATGAGTTCCATGCAGACATTAACCCGTGTGATTTATTTAGCTGCATAAACTTTCAACTGTATAATTTTATCTGTATAAAATACTTCAGACAATATATAAATATTGTCTTCAATTTATGCTTGTAAAGTGTGTGTGTGTATTTAATGAATTGGGAGAGAGCGAAACCACAAACCTTTGGCTTAAGATCACTTGTTGCATTAAAATAGGCATTCATGTTATCTGTTTAAGAAACTTATGATCCCTTATCTAAACCTTTATTGATATAAAATTAACTGAAGTGTTGTGAGCTCAATGTTGTTGAGCACAGTTTGCTTTACAACATCTAAAAGGAAGTTTTGACAAAATGGTCAGGATTTCGTCTTGAATGCTATATATGTTGTTTTAGCAAGAATGATTTGAAATATGTTATTTTTGCAGTTTTATAGTAGTGTTTCATAGATGACGTTTCAAAAAAAGTAATTTATTTCACTGCAAATGCATTCAATTTTCAGTGGCCTGTTTGTTTGTTTGTTTGTTTAGGAAGCAGGAACAGACAAGAGTATTTTTCCTTTACCAGAACCACAGGATTTTTTCCAGGCCTCCCAAGTTAAGTTTGAAGACCTAATAAAAGATTTAAGGAAACTGAAGAGAGATCTAGAAGGTAACTGGGAACTTTCCCATTTGTTCTACTAACAACAAAGTGCCATTTTAATGTGACCTTTATGAGGTTTTCTTATTGCTAATTAGGTTTATGGTGTTGATTCATTTAGAGTTTTTACACTGTGGCACAAATTACTCACATAAATTAGAAAGAAAAAGAAAGTCAAACTCATGACAATAAAAATGAAAGTAAAGATACTGAAAAGTAATTTTCCTGTTTACAATGGAAAGGCCCCTAAAGAAATCTTTCTGAAATTTTCTTTAGTTATGTGTGCATTTTCCTCTGGCTTCTCCAGAACTGTGTGTTTAACTGTGGATATCTGTTAGTTCCATAACATAAATACTTTCTTCAGTACTTGTATAACAACAATTTAACAGCTACAAGAAAGAGCTGAATACTATTAATGTAGAAATAAAACACAGCTTGCCAAGGCACAGCAAAGGGAAATGGAAAGCTCCAGCTCAAAATATTTTCACCCTGGGACATAAAATAAACATTTAAAAATGTTTATTATAAAAAGGGGCTCAGAAACCCAACTCATCTATCAATCAAGGTACTGAGTGGAAATAAAGTAGGAAGAGTTGCTCTCTAAGCGTTCCAAGCAGTTTCATTTTTATTTTGTGCTTCATATAACTTTCTAAAATAAATCCGGCAAATGATGACTGAATATTTTAAGCCTGTCTTTTTTTGTTAAGAGAAAGTTGCTACTTTTACTAAAGCAGTTTTCTGTAGAAAATGGAGTTTAGGGAGAGAATCTGCATAAAAGACTATAAAAACATCCATTTATCCGTTTACATCTCTGCGTCAAAATGCAAGGGTTCTTTTAGAGTTGGACAAGATGATTGTTATTATTTTTTTTCAATGTAAGGCAATGAAAACAGTTACAGAATAATTTATCCTTACAGTTAGAAATTGCTGGATTAGGTCCCTGCCATCTTTAGGATAGTTTCAAAGGTTCACAGTGGTAGGAAAGTATCAGTTGTTGTTTGTTCGACCCGGGCATAAGTGAGTGCTCTATCTCCTCTCATCGCTTGGCCCTGTAAACCCCTTGGCCTGCCCTCTTTTGGGCTAGTTTGTGCAGAAACATGATCTGTGTTTGATCTTGTACTTTTTCAGCATGTAGTCCTGCTGTCATGCATCTTAGTCTTGCAGGATCCGCATTGAGGCTGTGACATTCACGTCATTACTTGTTCTACATTGCAAAGACACAGACAGCAAGTAGGAAAAGCTAAATACTAACTTACTCTTAAAATAAAAACTGCAGCTTTCTTGTAATCACTAATTTCTATTTTCTAAAACAAATTTTCTTACGTATTTATAGAAAATCTGGAGAAATTGTTATTTTGAGGTTGTAAAGATGTATTTGAAACCCAGCCAAACCAATTAACATATGAAGTTAATGGCAGCAAAGTTTTGAAACAAAAAAGGTTGTGGAAATGTTTTCAGATTTTTTTTTTTTTTTTTTTAATAGCAGAATATTTTAGTTTATCAGAAGTTTTTATCA